AAAAAAAAAAAAAAAAAAGAAAATCAAGCCTGATGATAGAAGCAGCTGTGCATTCCTCATGGCCAAGCCAAGCAGCAGGTCTCCTTCCTGAGAGTAGCGCCTTTTTTGTAGGGCTTTCAGACCCCACTTTTAATTATTTATTTATTTATTTTTGAGACAAAGGCTCGCTCTGTCACCCAGGCTGGAGTGCAATGGCGTGATCTCTGCTCACTGCAACCTCTGTTTTTTGTATTTTTAGTAGGATGGGATTTTTGTATTTTTGGCTAATTTTTGTATTTTTGGTACGGATGGGATTTCACCATGTTAGCCAGGATGGTCTCGATCTCCTGACCTCATGATTTGCCCACCTTGGCTTCCCAAAGTGTTGGGATTATGGGCATGGGCCACCACGCCTAGCCCAGACCCCACTTTTCAAACAAACTAAGCTGTAGTAGCTATTAGAAACTTAAATCAAAAGGACATGCATCCTTCACTCTCACCAGTCAAATGGAGCATTTTTGCCAGTTTGTTCTCACATTAGTACACAAATACTTCTCCTGTCCTCATCTATTTCTTATCAAACCAGCCAGGTGTGGGGGCTCATACCTGTAATCCCAACACTTTGGGAGGCTGAGGTGGACAGATCACTTGAGCCCAGGAGTTTGAGACCAGCTGGACAGCACGGTGAAATCCTGTTTCTACCAAAAACCCCACAAAAATTAGCTGGGCATGGTGGTGTATCCCTTTAATGTCAGCTACTCAGCAGGCTGAGATGGGAGGATCACCTGAGCCTAGGGAGACTGAGGCTGCAGTGAGCTGTGACTGTGCCACTGCACTCCAGTCTGGGTGACAAAGTGAGATTCTGTCTCAGAATTAAACCAAATAAATAGGCTAAGACTTGACACCTGACTTACTAAGTTATAAACAGCCCACAGAAAACTCACAGTACTGAGCATAATATCATCTTGGACAGAGAAATGACCAACAGTGTGGGTGCTATATGATTATTTAAAGATAATAGATTAGGTCTGGTGTGGCATTTTATATTTGGTGTTTCTGTTTTGGTGGGATAGGAGAGAATTGAAAGAGGGTCCTAAACTCAGACTAGATAATAGAAATGTCCTGCAGGGTTAAGTTTTAAGGCTTAGTTGTAACCAGATGAAATTCCTTAGTTTTGGCTGTTGGTAGGTATGTAAAGGGAAGGCGGCCTTGGTGAACCTCTAAGGTATTAGTTGACTTTTTTGTTTTTCAGAGTTTACCCTTACCTGTGTCGGGCCTTGAAAACATTCGTCAAAGACCGTAAAGAGATCCCTCTTGCCAAGGATTTTTATGTTGCATTCCAAGACCTGCCTACCAGACACAAGTAAGAAACCCTTCTCTGGAAGAAAAGGAATTCAAATGGTATAGGTACCACTTAGCTGACAGTCAGAAAACTTGAGAGGTTGCCTTGATCTGCCATTAACTGGCTATTTAACATTGCACAAATGCTTTTACCTCACCGAGCCTCAGTTTCCTTACCTATGAAGTCTTTTGGCTTAGGTTTTCTACCTAAATCATGCAAAAAGCAAGTTTGTTGCTGTAAAATTAGTTTTTCATAATTGGTAGTCACAATAGTTATAAAATGAGTACTTACAAGATTGATGCTGTAAAATGTCAGGAGGAAAAAATGGTGGTTTGCATTCAGATTTTGTAGAAGGTTGACTTTCTACAAAAGGAGTTTGTAGAGGAGTTATACCCAGTTATCCAGAAAGTTTAGTTTTGGAGAAATGTATTCTCCTGTGGAGATGGGATTAGATGTAAATGAAGTAATGCAGATTCTTAGGATTATCATATTTTCAGGGGCCTTTTAGGGAAATTTTGGAGAAATTCTAGTAATTCATGAATCTTTGGAAATTTTTGTTAGTTTAAATATATGATTTTCAAACACCCCTTTAGCAGTTATTTTAGTAATATACTGGATAAAATTGAAGTGATATTTTCAAAACTTAAACCACTGAAATTACTTTATAAAATTACCAAATTATTTCACATAATGGATTTGTAAAGTAAAGGAAGTGTTTCTGAACTTTGTGTACAAAGTTTTTTCCCGTGATAACTTTATTATGTAACATATGCTTTTTTTTAGAAATTGCAGGTAAGCAAAAAAGTATTTGCATATAGAACAAAAATAGGATAATTCTGTTTTATAATTTTAATTTTCATTTTTTGGTGTCCTTTATTTCATTTGTTTATTCATTTATATATTTTGTTCTGGATGCATAGATATCATATAATTTAGGAATGGGCATGTTGACTAAATGGTTCTTATAGAAGAGTCCAAAGAATACCTAATCTCTTGAATTTTTTTTTAAGCATAAATTATCATTGAATGCCCTCTCATTAAAATGGAAAGATTCTTAGTTAGGAGATGAATGTTTACTAATGGGATATTTGTCTTTCAACAGGATTCGAGAACTCACCTCATCCAGAATTGGTTTGCTCACTCGCATCAGTGGGCAGGTGGTGCGTACTCACCCAGTTCACCCAGAGCTTGTGAGCGGAACTTTTCTGTGCTTGGACTGTCAGACAGTGATCAGGGATGTAGAACAACAGTTCAAATACACACAGCCAAACATCTGCCGAAATCCAGTTTGTGCCAACAGGAGGAGATTCTTACTGGATACAAATAAATCAAGATTTGTTGATTTTCAAAAGGTATTTGTTAGCATCTGTTTAAATCAGAGTCTGTCTATGGTAATAATTCACTTCTAGGCCCTTGCAATAGCTTATTTAGATAATGTTCAACTCAATTTTTTTTTGTTTTGTTTTGAGATGGAGTTTTGCTCTGTTACCCAGGCTGCAGTGCAGTGGCATGATCTCAGCTCACTGCAACCTCTGCCTCCCAGGTTCAAGCGATTCTCCTGCCTCAGCCTCTCTAGTAGCGGGGACTACAGGCGCACGACACCATGCCTGGCTAATTTTTTTGTATTTTTAGCAGAGACGGGGTTTCACCATGTTAGCTGGGATAGTCTCAATCTCCTCACATCGTGATCCTCCTGCTTTGGCCCCTCACAGTGCTAGATAACAGGCGTGAGCCACCACGCCTCGCTGTAAACTCAATCTTTATATAAGTTAAGCATCATCAAAATAACTACAAATTTAAGCCCAAAACTCTTAATATAAATTGTTGTTAGTATATACATCTGTTTTAACTTTAATAAATGGTATCTAAGTTGTTATTATTATGAACTGGAGTTAAGAAAACTTGGAAGAAGTAGCAACTTGTTAGTATAAGATTTCCATTTGGTGCATGCAAAGGAGGAAAGCATGAATAGGACAGGCTAGGTTGGAAGCAGTGAGGATTATCATAGTTGAAGTAAAGGAGCCAAATTGGAGATCATCTGAGAGAAAATTTAATGTAAGACCTGGTGGTACTTGGATCCCTAAGTCTTAGGCTGAGAAGTTTGAGCTTATCTTTTTTTTTTTTTTTGAGACAGAGTCTTGCTCTGTTGCCCAGGCTGGAGTGCAGTGGTACGATTTTGGCTTGCTGCAGTCTCCACCTCCCGAGTTCAAGTGGTTTCTCCTACCTCAGCCTCCTGAGTAGCTGGGATTACAGGCACGCGCCACCATGCCCAGCTAATGTTTTGTATTTTTAGTAGAGACGGGGTTTCACCATGTTGACCAGGATGGTCTCGATCTCTTGACCTCGTGATCCACCCGCCTCGGCCTCCCAAAGTGCTGGGATTACAGGCGTGAGCCACGGCGCCCGGCCGAATTTTTTTGTATTTTTAGTAGAGATGGGGTTTCACCATGTTCATGAGGCTGGCCTCAGCCTCCCAAAGTGCTGGGATTACAAGCGTGAGCCACTGTGCCTGGTCTAGTTTGAGCCTATCTTAATAAGCAGTGTGAATGTATTGGGAAGGTAGGGATTTTTTGCTTGATTTTTTTTTTTTTTTTTTTTTTTTTTTTTTTTAAGGAAACTAAATAAGTCAGTGATGGATTTAACAGAGGGTAATAGGCAGTTTTAGTTACCTGGGCAAGAGGTGATGGATGGCACTAGTAAGAATGAAGGGGAACTCTCAGCCAACGCGTTTTCCACACTTGCATTGGTCCCCTGGACCCATGCTGTAACTTCTACTTAAGAAAAAAAAAATGAAGGGGAACTCTCAAATTTCAGCAGGACTTAATTTTGTGGGGCATATAAAAAGGAAAGAAAAGTTAAAGCAGCTCAAGTATGGAATAATTATCAGATGAATTTAATATTATTTATTTTACTTTGATAATCATTCTCCTTATTTAGTTTTCTTATATTAACCTGGTAGCTTATAAGATGCATGTATTCTACCAACAGCTTTGGGTTGGAGATGCCTTGTTTTATAAAGTATGAGTCTAGGTTGGGTCTTATTTTCGGGGGGAAAACACAACTGTATGAAGGACACTCTTGACAATTAAGACATTTGAAGGGGGGTGGATCCAAGATGGCCGTTTAGGAACAGCTCAGGATTGCAGCTCCCAGTGAAAGCACAGAGGGTGAGTGGACGCTGCATTTTTATTGCCTACAGACTAGAAAATTCCCAGGTTGAGAAGGCCCATGGGTCGCCAGCACAGCAGTGTTGGCCGGCGCCGCTGCTTTGCCCCGCGCGACTGCTTTGTCAGTGCCCTGGAGCAGCGGTTCTCCATACAAAATACACTGGTCTGGGTGCCCTTTTGGCTGGCGATTGGAGCCACAGGAAGTCGCCCATACATCTGTTTAAAAAGGGGACCGAACAGGGAACCAGGACCAGGGCAAGAAAAGCACCATGAATCTCAGCGCTGCTTGCAGTGAGTCGCTGAATGGGAAAACACAGATCCAGGCACCTCTTCAACAGGCGACTGGAACAGCAACTTAAAAAAAAAAACAAAAGGCTTTGAGGCAGGGAGCCAGGCGATCAGGCTCAGCCAGTCCCACCCTGACAAAAGAACGGCAATCAGAAACACTCTGGATTGAGAGTTTCACAGCAAGCGCAGCTGAACCTGGGACAGTCCAGCTTTGTGGGGGAGGGGCGTCCGCCATTACCGAGGCAGCCCACCACTATGGAGATAGCCAGCCAATGCTGAGACAGCCCACCATTGCTGAGGCACCCCACTGTTGCCAAGGCAACCCGCCACTATAGAGAGAGTCCCCATAACAGAGGTGGGCCACCATTGCCGAGGCAGTTCTAACTATACCCATATAAACAGGACTGCAGGGAAGTTCACTTGGCAGCTGGGCGGAGCCCACAGCAGCTCAGCAAAGCCTCTACAGGCAGACAGTGACTAGGCTGCCTCCTTGCTGGGCAGGGCAGCTCTAAAGGAAAAAAAAAAGAAGGCAGCAGCATAACAGAAACTCATAAATAAAGCCCTAAATCCCTGGGACAGAGCACCTGGGAACAAAAAGCGGTTTATGACTTCTGCTGCAGCAGACCTAAACGTACCTGCCCAGCAGCTCTGAATGAACAATGGAGCTCACAGCTCAGCATTTGAATTCCTATAAAGAACAGACTGTCTCCTCAAGCAGCTCCCTGACCGCTGTATATCCAAAGAGCCACCTCATAAAGGAGAGATCAGACTGACACTTGGCGGGTATCCTTCTGGGACAAAGACAGCAGAAGAAGAAAACTGGTAGCAACCCTTACTGTTCTGCAG